CTTGGCAAAAGCCACCACTTAAATACTTGGGCGTTAGCAAGACAATTTGCATAACAAGTTAAAGCATTTAATTCTGGCCGGAGTAGAAAATAAGAAGTGATAGTACAGTTTTAAAATAAAATAAACGTTAGTAAAACTTAGGATCCTTACACGCTGAGTTGCTTATATGCCGTTTTGGATTTAATCGCGGGGTAGGTTGTTAAGTCAGCCTAGTTAGCCTTAAATTAAATTGCTAGTCCAGCACTACATCTTTATGTTTGAATTTATTGTGAAATTATTCTTCAGTTTCACCGAAAGTTGTCGGTGTAATTGTAAGTACGAAGTACGTGCATTTGAGTTAAGAATTTTTACAAATAATAAAGGGTTTATTACCCTTTTTCTTCGTTGGTATCATCGCCAAGTTTCTTAGTACGATCTACTGAATTTTATGATAGTAAAGATAGTTAAATCCCACGAAATGTACTTAAAATATTTCTTATTTTGTTAATAAAATTTTTCATTTCGTTTAAAGATGAATGCTGGCTAATCTGCTATCTTCAGATCGTGCACTTGGCCCGCATGCAATTTGAGTTTGAGACCGCTACTTTAACACTATGCCAACGAAACCGTTTGATTTATGCGGCAGGTTTAACTTAAAGCTGAAATTAAATGTAGTTTAGAAAAATAATTTCTAAAAAATATCTTGATGGTATATATAAGACTACAATGTATAAGACTACATGTATAAGAAAGGCTTAACATGTATAAGAAAGACTTCCTTAACTGCTTCGCTTTAAAGACATTATTAATTATTAATATTAATAGAAACATTTAATCCTAATAAGTAGCCAACTTTAGCCTACCCTAGCTGGGATCATTTATTATTGACTGGAAATCTCGACTGCTATCACCAACAATATCTTATTAATGCAAGTAACATAATCATACATATGCAATTGGACACAAAAACATAATATACAGTTTATTCGTATTTAGCAATAATAAGATAAATAAAATAGCTGTGTGTGCTTTACAGAACGTTAATAACATAATAAAGGTAAATAAAGAGAATAAACTGTTCAACATATAGACAGCAAAACACTTTATAGAGAATGTTTTTAATATATTACAGAGTAAAACTTAAAATTAACAACGCTTAGACCGAGTAAGATAATTTAAGTAATGTTGCAGTCAGAATCTACATGCAGGATAAATATCAAATAACGTAATGTTCAATTTCATTTTCTGTTATTTGTTTATGATTTTGATAAATCCGCTTCTAGTTTGGCCTTTGGGAAATTATCATTTAAAATGCTAACGCAAGTAAAAAAATTAACAATTAAATCTTTAAAACTGTAATACAAACTGTCAGCTTTAACTGCCGTATAGTTTCAAGAACTTCAATCTGAGCAGAGGAAGTATCTCTATCAAAGATAATTATACCCAGCTAATGATTTACCAATTGCTCACTGATAAGTGCGTTGGCAGGAATTCCGCCTATATTTATTCTCAATTATATAAAGCTCTTGAATGAGGCCAAATGCTTAATTTTGTCGGTCCTTTTAAAAATATGACGGGAACATGGTAACATTTTGCATGATGAAGGTTAATTTGGACACCCTTCAATGGACTTTAACGGACAATACTCATAATTGCTCTTTCAAATAAGGTCAGTTGTTTTTTCAAACAGGCCTCTTCTTTTCCAGATTTGCATTAGCATCCTTACAATTAACAGTTTTGGAATATTTTTGCAACATTTTATAGCCGCCGGTCGGTGTCAGAGCATCGAGCACGTAATTATATTTAGTACCTATATTGAAGAGTCCAAATCTCTGACACTTGAAGCCTTTCCAAATATTCCTTTATAGTAGATATTCTTTGCCATTTAACACTAATCTTTTCATTTTCAATAAGTACTTTAAATTTATCTGGAACAACAATGGGCATCAGTGAGCTTTTTCATTTTTTTCCTTTTGGAAGCATGAAATCAATACCTTCTCGTTGAAAACAAAGTTTTCCCTTTGTATATCATCTTTTATTGTTTTCTTCTTCATAATACTGGTCAATATTTTACATGATTACTTATGGATTTTTGTTTGTGGGCAGCTTCGTTTGAATTTTATCCTTTTGGATGGATTCCTTTTAATTTCCTCTTTTAATATACTGGTATTTTTTATTAAAAATTCAAGCAATTGATCTTCTTTTCATATACACCCTTCTTCTGATCACTGTTTAGTTTCACAAGGCCTGAAGGTAATTCTTCAAAGACCGTTTTAAAAGTTTATGTAAAAAGACAAAATATTTAAGAAGTCAAATATTTTAAACAAGTTTACACGAAGAATTAAAATAATAGAAATTAAACTTGTATAATTCAAAATTATCATTTAGAAGTTTTATATATATTGTTACGAATTTGGTATTTAAAAAGCTAATGTTAGTTCAATTACAAATTAAATGGTTTTATTTCTCGCGCAGTGCAGCGCGTGACGAATATTAAAAGAAAGCTAAGCCGGAAAATTGAAAATACGAGAGCGCGTGCATTAAATAAATAAATATCTCTTTTTGATTTCGAGAAAGTACTGGAAAATTCTAGCGCGTCATTTTAAAATCTTATAAAAGGAGGAAAACATCTCAGTTTTAAGGAGTTGCTTAGTTTGTTGTTGTTTAGAAAACTACTCTTGTTGATTATAGCGAATTCGCGGATTAGCGTTCTTTAGCTGTTTTGAATTAAGTTCTATTGGACATTTGAGTAGTTAAAAGATAACTACTGTGAGATATTGTAATACTGCATGATAATTTGAGAAAATTTAAGCATTTTTGTTGTGATAATAATAAATTTTTGTTCCTTTTTCATCGGACTTGTGCATTCATTTCATAACGAACCCGTACGCACGCAACAATATATATAAACAATTTACACTCAAGTTACTTTAAAACAATTTTCGAAATTGAACTTACTAACTATGGATTCACTCTTTTAAGATAATTCTACTAAAATTAATCTTAGGAGATAATATAGTGAATATTTCTTTAGTAAATAAATTATTATTAACTTGCACAATTGCTCAAGTTAATAATATTTTGCAGTTGCAGCATTTGCGCAAGTAGTAAAATATATATATATATATTGCGCAAGTAGTAGAATATATAGTTGCAGCAATTGCGCAAGTAGTAGAAGTAGTAGAATATTGCGCAAGTAGTCGAATATATATATATATATTAAGTTTTCTTAATTTCAGATGTAAGTAAAGACTGTCTTTGTTCGTAGCTAATGAATAATTGTTTTATGATAAACGATAATAATATAGTTACTACAAATAAATAGTATAAATAATGCTAAAAATAAATAGTATACATAGTATAAATAATGTAGTTACTACATGCAATACCCATTCAGTATTACTTATAGACGTTATAGCATGTCTATAAAATACGCTGCATTTTTTTTGGTAAGTTAGTTGGTTCTCTAAAAATTGATTGTAGTTGCATTTTTTATTTAGTGTGAATAAACATGTATGAAAAATGAAAATACAGAGAGGTAGCTGTCTACCAACCGTGGAGGTGATTATCCAGAATAACTCAGATTTTCGAAGATCCAGTGCTTGAAACAAACAAGTGTTGCCATTTAGAACAAGGTATATTTTACCAACATACGCAGAAATTGTATCAATTTTTAACGCCATTTTAAAGGATAAAACAGAAGCATCTAAGAAATTCTTTTAATGAATTTAATATCTTTTTTTTATTTCAATACTATTTGATATCGAATTATTTACAACAGATTATGATACTGTTTAATACTTAATTTTTCTTTCAGCTTTCCATTGGCCCGAGAGAACAATGGACGATAATGCGACTTTGGCAAAGTCGAATACCACGATTTTTGTATGTCCCGAGGGACAACATGAACCACAGCATGTTATGTATCAGCTGGCCAACGTATGCTTCATAGTGGCTTACTTGGCTCCTAGCAACAAAACAGGGTTGCTGTTCATGCACTCCATTCTCATTTTGGGTAATATGCGCTTCTTTATTATTCAGCACATGTTAATAATTATGATGAGATATGAACTGGTCTTTAGAGGCCAAGATCCTATTAATCCATACACAAAAGAAAAGGAAGAACGTCACATTGAAGCGAAATGTATGTCACGCGAAAGGACTATCATTTATAAGAAAAGCTCGATTTGAGCTCGATTGCTTTAGTTTTCAATAACATTTAAAAGAAAATGGCGCCTTCGATAAAATTACTTGAATAAAAGGAACATTATTATGATTATTGTTTTGATTTTATAATTCAAAAGAAAAAATCTGAAAGCTTTTAGATTTTATATTACGCCTAAAAGAGCATTTTTTTAATGTTTTGTGTATTACCTTTATTTATTAAATATCATGTTCTTCCCACTTAAACCATACAATTCAATTCAAGAGCAATATCACAAAATAATTTAAGAAGAGCATATGTTTAGAATTTCCGATACACGATCTCGCGCGCTGGAGCTAATTTTTTTTTTTTTTTTTTTTTTCCCCGTACAGTGTTGACATTGCTCGCTTTGAAATCGTTGAGTTTGTTAATCAAAAATTCGTTGAAGTGTTACAAAATATGAAATCGATAATAAAACAAATTCCGGATTTGGGCTTACATATGCCCATATTTGAGTGAAGGACTATGTTATTCAAACAAAAACATGATGCCTCTAGGTACCATTGTTTTTACACAGTGCGAGAAATATAGGTGCATGCATGTAGATTCTTCATTATTTAAGTTCTTTAAATATAATGCAAGGCTCTAAGATTTGGTGGCAACAATTTGAATAGTGAAACGCTGTTTATAGTGAACCAACCAACCGAAAATGCCAAACCGAAATTAATAACCCTTCTGAGAAAATTGTCCCTTTGTGCTAATAATAATTGAAAATTAGTTATTAATCACAGCAATAGTACTAACATAAAATATGTTTTTGGATTGTTGAAGAAGTGTTGCTATATTTAATTATATTATTTAAATTTAAAACATAAACAGGAAGTATGTATATGAATGATAAAGTAAATGGTGCTCTTTGTCCTGATATGAGTGATTCTAGTGTTTAGCTCGTAGAATTTAAACTTTATTTTTGTAAGTAAGTGAAAAACAAGAGGATTATAACATTTAAATTGTGGTCCTGCGTTTTCCCTGTCAAAACATTTCTGTAAGTCATTTTAATCAAGAATTCAGACAACCTAAATCTCTTATTCTTAATTTTTCCAAAAATTTCAAGTTGATTTTCTCAATTTAATGCTGATTATATGACGATTATAACGAATGCGCAAAAGGTAAAGGTAAATTAATAACAGCCTTATCAGCAATAATTCTAATATTTGAATTATGTTAGGTATAATTTAATTTGGCCTTAAGTTTAGGGATATGTGCATTCCACTTATCATGATCGCAATTTGCTTCAGTGGCTAAATGATTAAGACCGCTGAATGCTGGTAGTTCGTCTTGGGCTCGAACTCAGGGGAACGGCTAGGTGTATTTTTGACTTCTGTGGTTTTCCCCACGAATAACGGGAATACGAGTCAGCTTTCCTTTGAAAGTTATCCACGAAGGCATCTCTTCCTTAGGAAATCTCGTGAGTTTTGCCACATTCTAGTAACCAGCTATGATCACAGTTTTTGCGGCAGCTACGATATCCTCAGAATAAATGTCTTAAATGATTACATATTACTTGCGCATACTTTAGTTTTTTAAAAGTGTCAAATTTGGAAATTAATAAAAGAATCATTTCATGCTTCATTAATCTTATAGAATGTTATCATTGAACAGTAAAATATGTAAATATTAAGGACAAGGAATTGGATAATAGGAAATAGGCCAAAAATACATTATTAATGTTTATTTTAAATTTATTTGGATTCTTAACATTTGAGCGTTAAACTGAGCTTTTTTAAGGAATTGATAATCAATGTATAATATATTCTATACTATTAAAATCTGAGCGTGTCTGTCTGTTTGTGGCATTATCTCTTCGGTTAATGGCGAAGAGTTGAGCTTTGAGAGCGGTACCCCCTGATTCCAAAAATTCGTGGGTAGCCATTTTGACCATTCAAATCTTCGTATGACTTTAATCAGCCGAGATATTAATTGAAAACTTTGAAACGCTAATTTTTTCAATCATTTATTCGGGTGGCAACAGTTTTGCGCCCTGGAGATAAAAATATGTTTTATTTCGAAAAGTGCTGCAATTGCTCGCTTTCAAATCGTAGAGTTTGTTAATAAAAAATTTGTAAGTTTACAAAATATGAAATAAAAATAGTATTGTCAAACCTTAAACATATTATTATTATAAAAGGTCATAGTATTAACTTGAAGTGCCAAAGGTTTTTGTTTCCTGGTTTGGCAATAAAACCTATTTACGAATTGGTTGTTGCATGGAAAGAATGAACTGATTTCATTCATACTGAAATGTTTTTTTATACATTTGCTTTTCAGGGATACATAGAACTTAAGAATTTTGCTTTTTCTGCAACCCGCTCGTGATTTTATAATATTCGATTGTTAAATCAACAAAATCAAGCGACAGAGTTACTAAATTTTATTTCTTATGCTAAGCGTTATTTAGGTATTGAAATAAATTTCAGTGATTCAAACTGCAGAGTTATTAGGATTTTTGAAAGGACAAATCTTGAAAACTCAACCGGAATATGAATCTGATAAAGAAAGCTATCGAACGTTTCTACGAAACTTTGTGGTAGTACGAAGCTACGAAATAGCTTGAATAGCTACGAAACTTTGTATAGCTACGAAACTTTGTGGAGGGGACATAGCATATGAAAAACAACAATCGCAAAGTGTGATGTTTTGCAGTCGCCCACAATCTCTAAAACAGAACGTATGAAATGGATCACGTAACTGCAGTGTTTGCAGTTAAAGATTGGCAAACGCAATGCATATCTGAGGTTTGAGGCCTTCTGTTGTCAATGGCTCTTATGCCTTCTAGAATTTGATGTAAATATGCTGACGAATTCATGCTACTTTGTATTCTCTTATACCAGTTTGTCAACAGCCCGTGCAGTTGGCTGCATTTTATTCTGCTCTCTTCTGTATTTATAGGCAGTTGCTCTTAAGTATTGTTGCTGCTTTGAAATGGTGAATAACTCCATGCAAAGCTTTTGTTAAATCAACAAAATCAAGTGACAGAGTTACTAAATAAGCACTTTAGAATCGTGTCGTATGTTTGGTACTTCTACTGCACATCCGTCAGTGATATTTATACCATAACGTGAGGGTTAGAAGCCATTTGGTTGGATTAATCACACAACATACTTATTACTTCGCAATAAGTATGTTGTAGGAAGTGGGAAGTAATAAGAGCAACATACTTCACAGTTTCTTTGCTTGTGAGCACTGTAATACGCCCATGATCGGCACTACATTTCTCGAGCAATAGTCACTGCCATACGACTTGCATACATCTGCCAAAATGCGCCTTATTGCGAAAAGACATTACAATTCACAGACGTTACAATTAAAAGATGCCAGAGTGTCAGTTTAGTATATTTGCAAGTATTGCGAGCACTCGTTCATCACTTTAAATGTCCCTTTCTAAGATTTGTGGGCGAGTACGAAATGGAACATTTTGCGCCTGGGATGTTGTCCACATGCTTGATCCCTCGTGAAAGTTTCACGGTATTTGACGCGAGAAATGCGATAACCTTTCTAGTTAGATGTATTGTTCACACACCGTCACATAACCATGAGAAATATGTCTTTAGTTCTTTCCATTCATGGACTACCTATAACGCGGCTCTTTTAAAAGGAGAAACGATACATTATCGGCCAAATCAAACTGTGCACGAGAAATTATTCTGTACAATTCTATGTTTAAAAAGTCAATCATGTCCTAGTTCGATAACAGATAAAAAGAATATTTTTAATTCTTTACGCAAAGACTTTAATTTGTTGATTTGTTACATTATTAAAATCTGTTTCATTCAAATTGAAAATTTGAAAGATCAATAACATTGTTTTAAAGAACAGCTCGCATATATTAAAAATGTATTCTTTTTATCAACAGGCTTCTTCCTTTTCTCAATGTGGGCGTGGAATGTTGTGTGCGCACCTGATGTATTTTCGTGGAATTTCTTCTTCGTCTTATTAAACATGGGACAAATGCTCTATGTATTGTACACTATGCGTAAAGTCAAGTTTCCTTTAGAATTAGAAGATATCTACAGGTCTATGTTCCAGCCTCTGCAGGTACAAAAATTTAAATCTCTTGAAAATAAAAAAAATATTGCTGCTCGATTATTTTAAAATTGCTGATACATTCCGTTGATTTAAAGCTTCTTGTTATTAATTATTAATATTTTAATGATGTTAATAATTTCGCAAGTGTAAATTTAGAATTTAAATGAAAATAAAAGAGGCAAGGAAAAATATATTTCATGTTTTTTCAAGATCAAAATTCATATACTCCATTTTTAATTTATTGAGAATTTAACGACCGCATAAAGCAAACGTTTTCCTCTCCCCTTACAGCCCTACAGGCGGTCTTCACATTAATTGAATAACACTAATAAATGCAAGAGCTTGCAAAGAAAATAGAAAGTGTTATTAAACACACATGATAGCATCTTTCATTAATGATTATTCGGTACTAAAGTATGTTGAAGTGTACTAGAATTATTTTTAATTAAAGTAATCATGTAAATTTTTACAGAAATTAGTAGTTAGATTAAAAAAAACTTAGCGGGAAATCTATTGCAATAACATTACTATTAATATATATATTAGCAGCTAAAATCTGCAACTTAGAAACTTTTGAATTCTAATAGAAAATATACAAGATCTAGCCTATTATTCTTTCAAGCATTATAAAACTATAAAATGAGTGTAAAAGAAATTCGTTTTTACTTTAGCATATGCCAGATTTTATAATTTAATATTTGTTTTGCATGCACACTTTATACAATATCTGATAAAAGAAAATATAGGCTCGTAGCCTAAATAAAATGTGGCATTTAGAGGATAAATGACTTTTTTAGTACTCATCTTGCGAATTCAGGTTCTTAGAAAAGAGGGGACAGGAAAAAAGTCGCGCAGTTCGTGGTTTACTTTTATTCTGTTCACGCATCATATACAAGGTGTGGGATGCAAAAGCTGGTTATTGTTCATTATAGGGCAGTTGGCACTAAGAAATGGGGTCTTCCGATTAGATAAAAGGGGTCGTTAATTAAATTTTGCGCAGTTCGTATCCTACTATTCATAGGGTAGCATGTATATTGTAAAGCAAAGCATTTGATGTCAAAATTTCTGCATTACAGAAATAGCAAGTCAGAAGTTAAATTCAATTATATATTTTCTTAAACTGTATACTTATGTGAATCTATTCTTTCTTATTATTAGAGTGGCTTGAAGTCATTTCATTTAGTGATTGCAAGAAATTTTGAAAACGCTTCTCGCTGCTAATTTGAAACAAAGCTTAACAACAGAAATCTTCAGTTTAAATCTAACGTATGACTACCCCCCCCCCAAAAAAAAATTCTTAAAGGTTTCAGATTTTAAATTATGTCCAAAGGGGCGTTTTTTTTAACATTTTGTTCGTTACCTTTATTTATTAAATATCACGTTCTTCGCACTTAAGCCATAACATTCATTTCAAGAGCAATATCGCAAAATAGTTTTAAATTGAGCATATTTTTTAGAATTTCCGATACGCAGTCTCATGCGCTGGAGATAAAAATACATTTTCTGTACAACGTTGCCATGGCTCGCTTTGAAATCCTTGAGTTTGTTAATCAAAAATTTGTTAAAGTTTTATAAAATATGAAATCGATAAAAAAACAAATTTCGAATTTGGGCTTCCACATGCCTATTTTCGCAGTAGGATTACGTCATTAAAAATTCGATGGCTGTATGTACCGTTGTTTTATCACAATGCGAGAAATATACATACATTTATGCAGATTTTTCGTTATTTAATTTCTTCAAATATAATGCAAGAATCTAACATTTGATGGCAACAGTTTGAAAAGTGAAACGGACATTTATAGTGAACCAACGCAAAATCGCGAAACGAAAACAATAGTCCTTTAGGGAGAAGCCCCTTTGGAGTGAAAAGAGAGAGAAAGAAGATGTTTGTTTCCTTTGCATTAATTACGTTTCAGAATTGCTTTATATTGATAACAGAGCTATCATTATTCAAGACAAACATTTTGAGCGTTGAAAAATTATTTACAAGTTTCAAATTTGGTCAGTCAAAATGAATGTGTTTGGATGTTTGGGCAAAATTTTCTAAATGTCTAGGCGTTATCACGAATTCTAGACAAACATGATAAACCTATAGTGTGTGAAAATTGTTAAAACGATCAATAATTTTCTTTTTTTTTGGGAGGGGGGTTGAAAGACGGAATATTATTTTAAAAACTATTAGTAGTCTAATTACCACTTTTCCCACTCACGCAACTCTCATTTCAGGAATTGTAGCAAATGCTAGGTTATTAAAGTCCTGATAATTTTATCACAGTACAGGTTTTTAGTTTCTTCTGCATATATTAATATAAACAGCATCTAAAAGTATTTTTACTAATATATATTAGCTATGTACTTGTAGCTAAGCTTTCGATCATTGTTAACGTATAATTTTATTGATACAGGCTCAGCAGAAGTAATCAATTATTGATTGAAATTTCAGATATTTTTCAACAACTAAGAGAATACACTATACATCCCACTCTCTCTCTAATATATATCACGTACAAATACCCAATACAAAATTGAAGTCTATTTATTACGTGACAAGTAGCAAACATCTCGACTTACCCCATCAGTACTCACTGCCGATAACCAAAATGTTTTCAAGCTACTGAATTTACATTAATAAGAAATTTTACTGAATACAGGAAAATCTATCTATTTTACTTTTTAGTGTCAAGTTTCTCATGGGAATAATTTTGCGTTTCATTGTCTCATCGTTTACTTTCTTTCTGAATTATTTCAGTTCTTATCGAAGTCATACTCAAGCATACATAAGTAAAATTTTTTGGCTTTCCATTATTCGTTATTCCTTAACAAATGTTACTCGAAAAGAATCAGGTAAAGACAAAGCGAGTGGTAATGTAGTTTTACTTATAGTCATAATGATGTTTTTGTAACTTACTGTTTTCATTCAATTTAATTTCGAATCAAAGGCAACTGAAGTACCTTATCCATCCTCAGTGTAGCCACAGAGGAAGAAATTACGTGATGTTAAAAATAGTGATCGAGCTGCTCGCAGGATTTAGTCAATAGCTGCATAGCAAATTCACTATTAGACTCTCATTCGTGTAAACACGAAGCATGATTTAAAAATGGCTGGAGAGTAACTTAAATTGCCCCCGGATATAATTTAAATGAAACTATATATTTCAAAGCTTAAACCTCTATCAGATCTGTTCTTAATTGTGTGTAGAAAGAAACATTTCTGGGAATATTCGCTTTCCGAAAATCTGATTAGCTTACGCGAAGACGTCTCAGAAGTACGCTCTGTTCTTGCTGTCCTACGCAAGACAGAGTATGTGCAGCGAATTATTTTCGCCACCGTCGTAAAATGGTTCCAGATGCGTACCCGTAACACATCGTCGAGCGCAAATGTTTGAGCTAAAAATCTCCCATTCAAACTAGTGTTGGAAGAAAGATACGTTTCTCGAAAAAGCTTTTTACAGTGTCGCGCATCAGTAGCTGTAATAACCCCATAACCCAAGGTGCAGGGAATTAAATTGCAAGATAGACATATTTGTGCTACAGAGCTTGGAAACATTGACAATAATTACGATATGAAAAAATTTTGGACATTTATCTTTACATCAATGGGCAAAGTTTTCTCATGTCTTTTCGTTGGGATCCAGTAATACCCTAAGTTCGGATACCATAATGACTTACCATGTATTTGTATTTTAATCTAAATTACAGGATGGATTGATCATACTTCATTATTTATCTATTCATTCTTGAAACCAAAACTTTTTTTTATTTAATTATAGAAATATATTTCAAATTAAAAGAAGTGTTTATATTCTATGTCATGTATTAAAATTAAGGAATAATATCATCGTGCAGAAGAAGTTTTTGTGTTTTGTGGTCGTATAAAATAAATTATCCCGGAAAAAGCAAATATCTAAAAGTTAAACTTTAAATGAATCCATTATTTTCCTCAAAATATTTATATGAAGAACTTTCTTTTAAGGAATTTTATTCTAATTCCAGATGTCTAGTTGCTATTTAAGTCAGGTCCTTTAATTTCAATTGTCTTTAAGTCTTTTAATTCCAGGTGTCTTTAAGTCTTTTAATTCCAGATGTCTTTCTGATTCCTTCTGCCTTCTAATTCTAGGTTTTAAGTAATTTCATACTAATTCTAGGCTCTAAGGAATTTCATTTTAATTCCAGGTGTCCAGACTGTCATTTAAGAAATTGGTGAGTCCTGAATGCGCGCAAATGATGTCTTTGCATCCCGGTGAAGCATATGCGATGCAAAGTCTTACCAAGACAGACAGACTTGGCTTGCTTGTTAGTGGAAAGTAAGAATATTTAGTTAATAAAAATTCTCCACAGATAATCGTTTCTATTTTTTTCCTTTAAAGACATATTTTGTGAACAATGACCTATCGTCTGCGCTTGATATACGTCTTCCATATGATATAGATATTTTAATAGTATCAAATAAATTTAAATGCTGATAACTTTTAACTAAATTTGTAAAATTAATTAAGGTTATTAAAAATGATGAGTTATTTAGAGAAATTTAAACTCGCCCTGATTGCTTAGTTTCAAAGTTCAAATTGTGGCTATTTCTCGGACTTTATGAAAGTAGTCATCAGCAGGTGAAATAATACGCAAGAATTCTTCATGAAGTTTAAGGATCGAAGATAATAGGATGGTTATATGAACTGAATAAGATTATTTTTAACAGGATAACCTTTATCTAACCATATAAACAAAGGACCCTTATTATTTAAGGTGAAACTGAATGTGCTTTGTAAATCTTATTTATTGGGTTTCGTAAATACGCGCTTTTTTAGAAATTAAGGAATGAAAATTAATATTAAGCTTATATTTTTTAAAATATTCATGATATAAAAAATAATATGCAGTGAATAAATGTCAAGTGTGCATACACGCGATAACGTATTTCAGAGTTCTAGAAAAATAGCCTTTAATAAAGCATGCTTTGTTCAATCATGAATCATTTTCAGTAAGGAAAGCACGTTATATACATGATTCATTATAGTACAGATAGCGTGAATTCTAAATTTTCTAGAACTTTAATCTATGCCCTAATTATGTTGAGTCATCGAATCTCTCAAATTTTTCAATTAAAAAAATACTCATTAGGACTAAAAAACAACGCTGAAATTTTTAATTGCAGTAACTGAAACCTGCTTTTAATTAAACAAAAATCAGCATGCCAATTTTTAAAAATACACCTGCATTTAAACTACCGAAAATAATATTTTAATCAACTATGGTACTAGAGATAGTGAAGAATATTTATGATGTTCTTTTTAATGATGATGTAAATAAAGCTTTTCTCCTCAAAATTTTGTGTGTCCGCGCTTTTTGAAGTGAACATTTCTGTTGGAACAATGTTGAAGTCATCCTAAGCAACAATAATCAGCGTAAGTTGCACGGATTTGCAGGACTAGTTCTGAAGGCTTGAAGAGAGCCTTCTTCTTGGACTGCAGGAACAAAAATGATGAAGGAGAAACATATGCTTATGCGATCACAAGAGATGAAAAAACTCTAGAAAGTTATAGTACATTTAATGCAACATTGTTGCTTTAGTGCTTTCAGCATGTGCCTAAGTATCTTCAGCATTTCCCTTTGTATCTCTAGCCTGGTATCTTTTGCAAGTTTGCATCCTTTTTCTAATGTGATTCGAAGATTCTAGAATGTCTGATTTCTACATTAGAGAAACATTGGAAATTTCTGAAACCACTGCTATTAAACACTAGTCTTTGTACTTAAAAAACTAGGTACATTTTTTTGAACTTTTTATGGACAGCTTTCAGTGTGACTTACCTCAGTTTCCATGAAACAAAGCTAGTCCTGTAATATAAAAGAAGCTTCACTTTATTTCAGAGCATTATATTGTGCGTGCAATTAATTAAAGGGGCCCATATAAAACTTGGAATTCCATTGCACACGCACTTAATTAGTAAATATTTAACTAATAATGAAGAAATTTAAAAAAATTAAATTCCTTTATTTTAACCATATAAAATATCTTAGACTTGATCTGCTTAAAATAATAACTATTTAATTCTACAAGCGAGGCAAAAACGAGAAAAAAGACAGCGAGAAACAAGCTAGAAAAAAGTTCTAATTTGAAATAAGACTTAGTAAAATAATTAAAATTTAATAAGAATGAATGCTAATCTGGACAGAGATAAGTTTAAATAGAACTAACTTACTATTACATTATTAGGTTTTTATGAAGAATTAAATTCTGAACTGTTGTTGCATTTTACTTGATGCCCTTCTATTTATTTCAGCGAAAGATCTTTTCTGTTTTCATCAAGGCTAAAAATAAACTACCCTACAATGAAATAAATTAATCGTCAAAGGAATTCCTTAGTAATAGCATAAAAAGCTGTAGTGTTAAAACTTGTTTTTTGAAATAGCATGTATTAAAGACTAGTATACGAGCATGATAGTGATGGAGCACAGTATGCAACGTTTATTTTTCTGTGGGAAAGAAGATTTTATTCTTGTATGAGAGTAACGCACAAAACGTAGGTACGTGTCTACTTCAAATCCCTTCTGAAACCATCTTGACAGTGATAAACTGTAGTGCAGCAAGTAATTTCATCTTTGCCATGGCTTGTTTTACGAGCTTTTTCAATCAACGTAATTGGGTAATTTATGTGATAGAATTACGGTTTAGCATTTCAGAATAACAGCAAATGTATTTACTTTCATCGCAAAGTCATGTTTTTTGCTAGATTAAATCTTTGTCATCTTAGGTGAGATTAGCGGTGTAGGACTTGACAAATAAATTGCGTAAGAAATTTCTTCCTCAGAGCTTGGTATAAATTACTTATTTGTTTTCTTGATGTTAAAAATACCTGTAGTACAGTCTTTCCATTTTTTTTTTGGCAGTAACGTTATTCTGCAATAACAGAGCATTTGTCATTCATGCCACGTGGCAAGTGCCGTTGTTCTATGATGCTTAAGATGTTTCATATGTTATCCATGTGGCCTGGCAAATTACTTTCTGTGACGCATTGCCATACAATATTCCGTGAGATTACTGTTGTCTTCCTGTGCATTGCTTTATAAGGTATTTCTCCTGCCTTCGTGGTGTAGTGGTTCTGCACGCTGGACCGGGATTCCAGAGGTCCGTGGTTCGATTCCTGGCGCAGGCTTTGCTAATTTTTCATCTCTTCTGCTTCCAAAAAATATACCTAATGTCTCTACAGTGGCGTCCGAACTAAAAGAGTCGTGGATGATGAATCTCTACACCCAGGATTTGGCGATTGGGTCCCCTAAAAACCCCAGTCGCCCTTTAAAAGGGGGAGTATATAAGGTATCTCTTCCGCCTTCCTAGCGTGCCTTCGTGGTGTAGTGGTCAGAACACTGAGCTAGTATTTCAGAGGTCCGTGGTTCGATTCCCGGCGAAGACGTTGCTAATTTTTCATCTTGCCTGCTTCCTAAATACCTAATGTCTCTACAGCTTAACTGACTGATCAAGGAACAACTAACGTACTTCTTAAAAACTTATGCTTTTATTTCTTATAAAAATATATGCCTGCCAGTGGTTAAGACCACTGAGCTTGTTTCGAGCTCGAATCCAGGAAAATGAGCTAGCTGTATTTTCATTTTTATAGTTTCCTAATGTGCGAGGAGAATGCAAGCCAATTTCCTGCAGAAAGGCTTTTGTCACTACTAGTAGATGAGTGGTTAAGACCGCTGAATACTGGTAGTTCGACTCCGGCTCCGATCCAGCTGAATGGGCTGGCTGCGTGATCGGTTTCCTTTGTTTTTTTCCATGTCTGTTTTGTGAATGAAAGCCGGTTTGGCTTAAAAAAACTTTCCACGTAGTCATTCCTTCTCTGAAACAGATTGTGTGTTTAGCACTTGCGTGATTTGCCATATTCAAGTAAACTATCTTAACCGCAGGAAGGTCTTACACACAGGCACATCTTCAGTTAGACACGCTAGGTCAGTTAAGCTTTTCGAATATGGAAAAGCTACGGTAACTACCTGCCTAAGAGGAGGAATGCCTTCGTGGAAGATTTTCTGGGAGAAACTAGCTCCTATTCATATTACACATGGGAAAAACCAACCGTGCAGCAGCCCGTTCGCTTGGGATGGAGCTTAAGCCACGTCAAATTGCCAGAACCACTCGGCTTAACCACTCGGCCGCTGTCTTAATCACTCGGCCACAGGTGAGACGCTCAGCTAGACAGATAACCCTTATATGTTTTAATGAATTCGCTTAAATAGCAATATTACTTCTAATTAATGTAGTTTGCATTATGTTTAATTCATGAGACTTATAATAAATCGAATAGATAATTTTTATAAAATCTTCGTGATTATTGTATTTAAAAAGAGCATCAGATCGTTGCTCTTTTATTATAATTAATAAAATCTGGAAAATTTGTTTCTAATGTTATATTATTACTTTCCTTGGTACAAAATAATTGTTTTAATTCTTTTCAATAGCGAGTTTCCCGAACAGTTTTCCCCACCGCCTAACAATGAGGTTCTTCTTTAGACTAGATAAAATATTTTTTATGTTATGCCTTTTCGAAAACGAGTATTTTAGCCTTCTACACTCGTTAAGCTTTGTTGCGAGGCGATTCTACACTCTTATTCATCTGGTTCCGCTATGCGGGTGCTGGGATTCGAATCCGAAACTTCAATCTGTTATATAAATCAAAATAGACAAAAATTAGCTTTGCTGTGCGTGTTTAACCTTTAGTAAACACAAATAATGAATGGTATTACATTACGGAAATTTCAGTTACGAAAGAATACATTTTAAAGTAGTGCCAAAGATAATTCAATAAAGTGGTCTTGTGTTTAATGTTTGCACATATTAAAAAGTTTCGGTTTGCAAATAATTAAAGTGTTTAAAATCGATAAAAACAAAATACTGTTTAATAACTTAAGTATCTGTACAAAGTTTTCAAGTAAGTAAGACAAAGTGGTCGTCTTGTCAACAGACATTTTGTTTACATGTTATTTCTACAATACTGTTTCGGGGATAGAGTGTGGTAGATTTATGCACATGAATTGTAGATTTATTGTGTTAGCAATTTCTATTCATTGTTACTTTGATACAATAGCTAAAGATACTATAAATCTGCACTATGTGAGTTAGTAATATCACTGCTGTAAAAACGCAAATCTCCGGGGAAACTGCACTGAAAGTTTTTATCAGAGTTTTTTAAAACTTCATTTAGAATAGAGTAGAATTTAGATAATTAATGTATACCTTGTCCACAAAAGTCCTTACTCGACTTTTAGTTTCACAACCGTTAGCCGTAGAATTTAATTTTGCATAAAATATGAAATCTAATATTTGACACGTTCCTCCAGATCTCATACTTATGTTCAGGGAATTTTTGCACGCATTATAAAAGATAAAACACAAACGATTCGACTACGGTATGTCAAAAGACCATAAAAATTGGGAATCCTAATTGGGACCGTACACAAAATGGAAGAGCGAAATGTGTGCATTTTTCTCTTCAGGTTTGTGTATGGTCCCAGTTTTCATTCTCAATGTATACAAACTGAAGAGCGAAATGTGTATGTAACTAAAAATAAAATATCGTTTGGTAAAAGGTTTCTAATGTTTAGAGATTATGTGATGAGTATTTATTCCTATGCAGATTGCTGTGAAAAATATTGATCAATGTACTTTTTTAAAAATGGGACTCTTATTTGTAGAATCTTATAGATTTTTTTGTTCCAGAAAAACTAGCCAGCTTCAGTAGGATCACGTTAACTCGTAATATTATTCGCATTAAGTAAAAATGAAAAATGAATAAAATGAAAAAAAAAAAAAAAAAAGGACATCTGAATGGTTTCAGATTTTACATTACGTCCGAAGGGGCGTTTTTTAACGTTTTGTGTGTTACCTTTATTTTTTAAATATCATGTTCTTCGCACTTAAACCATAAAATTCGGTTCAAGAGCAATATCGCAAAATAATTTTAAATTGAGCATATCTTTAGAATTTCCGATACACAGTCTCGCGGGCTGGAGATAAAAATGTTTTTTCTGTACAACATTGCCATAACTCGCTTTGAATGAGTTTGTTAATTAGGAATTCGTTAAAGTTTTACAAAATATGAAATTGATAATAAAACAAATTCCAAATTTCAAATTTGAGCTCTCATATGCCCATATTCGCAATAGGATCACATCATTCAAAATTCGATGGCTCTAGGTACCAGTGTTTTATCACAATGCGAGAAGCATACATACATTTATGCAGATTCTTCATTATTTAATTTCTTCAAATATAATACAGGGCGATAATATTTGCTGGCAACAGTTTGAAAAGTGATACAGCTTTTTAAGATTTCTACGCAAAATGCCAAAACGAAATCAATAGTCCGTCAGGGACAAAGCCCCTTTGGTCTAATAAAAATGGTTTAATGAATTTTTTGTATGATTGTCAAATTATGATTCTAAAGTAATAATATTTCATTTTAATATTGTTAACACATTTTTAGACTCATAAATTATTTGTGCGAAAATTCTTTCGGCATACGAAATATAATAAAATCATAAATTAAAACACTAGTAAATTAAAAAGCAATAACTTTGTATAGCATTTGAGTAGCGGGAGAAAATTAACCTCGATTTGTTGTAAATTATTTACTAACCGACTTGCCAATGCAAATTTAATATTGCGTCACAAATCGAAGATTTCGGAATTAAATAGCTCGATTAATATTTGTGGTAGGATTTTGTGTTTTATTTTTTATAAGGACTAGAAAATTTTCCTAATTATAAGTATAGGGGCTGGAGGAACGAAGTTGATATCCTTAAATTTAAAAATGCCAAAACATTAATTTTTTTTTTTTTCATCGTTGAAAACTACTACTTATATACTATGAATACTTGTACTTGGAACGAAGTTGATATCTTTAAATTTAAAAATTCCAAAACATTAATATTTTTTTTTGCATCGTTGAAAACACTTGTATACTTGTTGGAGGTATATGTTTAGGACCATCGATTGTAAAAATAAAGGGCAGGTAACGACTTTTATGGACACTCTGTACTTACCCAACAGTGGCATTATGTAAACTTCGCTATCTCGTCAAAATAAACAGTATCGCTTTAAACTAACCTACTAGTGGTCGAACGGATAGGATTACTGCATTTTGGTAATTTGACCCGAATTTTATTGCCGGGCATGAAAGGTCCTTCGTGAAATGTTTCTCTTTTTTCTCTTGATAAGAGACTTCCATTCTGAAATGAAAACAAATTGTAGTAAAAAATTTCTAGTACAGTTAAATTCAAAATTTTGATATACATTATTGAAATATTAAAAGTTTATTATGACATTTTTCAATGATACAATTTTTTCATTCAGAATAAAACGAGAATTTCTTTTGCAGTGCTTAAATAACATATGTTCAATCATAACGTAAATATTAATGATTAAAAATATGTTTTCTTATTTTTACCAATTATTTATGAGAAAACCTCTTATTTTTTTATTTTTCAGAGTGAATGTCATATCCGGTCAGCATTTCTTACACAACATTCAAGCAAAAGAGTTCCTGGATTCTCCAGAATTTGAATCCAGCAGATCGGGCGTCGAAGAGAAATTCAAGGTGACCTTCTCAGATTATACATAGAATTACTTAAAGAGGAAAATATTAAAATTACTAGTGAATAACTACTAGCAATTTTAATAGTTCCTTCTTTTTTCCGTAGATAACGCGTAACTACCCTACTGGAAGTAAAATTTGTAATCTATAGAAAGTTTGGTGATTTTCTTCAGAAAAATCTATGCTTGTGTACGTGGAAGTGATTACGAATCAGTTATGTTACGTTATCAATTATACAGACTAAGGTATGGGTACACTGCAGTGTTGGCTCGCTCTGAATGAGATATTAAAAGTGGAAATCCTGTATGAATAAATTTTTATGTTTTGTTTTGGTACACCGTGCGTTTTTACGGAGATATATTTCCATTTGTTCGAAATTTAGTAGCCCATTTCGAAGACAGTATTTTTAAAGCGTTTTTCGTCATTATATACTTCCAATTACAGAAATGTTTTAAATGACGCAAAGATTCATATTCTCGTACTTCTAAATTGTAAAAAATTAATTTTGTATAAAATCTAAAAATAAAATATATCTAACTTTTTATACTGTTGCGTGCGTACGGGTTCGTAATAAATTGAATACACAAATCCGATGAAAAGTGAATAAAATTTATTCTTATCACAACAAATAAAACAAAATATGCTGAAATTTCCTCAGAGATATTCGTACAATATCGCAATATATGATAGTAGTTATATTTTAAATCACTAAAAAGTTGAATAGAACTCAATTCAAATCACTGAGAAAGCTAATTCGATCTCACCGCGAATTCGCTACAATCAATAACAGCACTAAGTAAACAACTAAATTGAGATGTGTTCTTCCCGCTTTTGTAAGCTTTTTAATCACGCACGAGAACATTCTGGTATTTTCTCGATTTTTCTGGATAGCAAAAGAGCACAATTACGAGATATCTAGTTTATTTAATTTTCTCCGGGGGTAGCTTTCTCTTCAAATAAGTCTCGTGCTGCATTGCACGTGAATATAAAACAATTTTAATTACAAATTCTACTAAAAATAGCAAACTAAATAGAAAAACCGTAACAATATGTTCCTGCGGTCCCTGTACTTATATTTAGGGAAATTTTGTGCTCGTTTACGAATCAGTTATGTTATGCTATCAGCCATACAGACAAAGGTATGAGTATAACACATTGTTAGCTCCCTGTGTATGAAGTATTAAAAGTGGAAATCCTGTATGAATAAATTTTATGCTCTCTTTTTATATACCGTGCGTTTTTACAAAGATGTATTTTCATTTGTTCGAAATTCAATAGTCCATTTCGAAGACAGTTTTATTGTGACATCATACCTTAGATACTTTATTCAATATACACCATACCTACAAAAGTCTTTACTACCCTTATTTCTGCGAGCGTTTTTCGTAGACATATATTTCCAAATACAAAGATGTTTTAAATGACGCAAAGCTTCATATTCTCGGATTTCTAAATTTTAAGAAATTAATTTTGTATAAAGTATGAAATCTAACTTTTTAGACGTTCTTCCGGTAACTATACTTATATTTAGGAAAATTTTGTGCTCGTTATAAAAAACAAACAAATAAATTGAAACAAATAAACTATATTTAATTCCAACATTTGCTATATTTAACGTAATTTTTAAATGTGCATTGAGGGGTCGATTAATAAATAACTTAGAATAATTCGAGATTTTTTTAACCCCTTAAATGCCATTCAATGATATGATTTACCAGTGTCTTTATTTATCAAATTGTTGCATCTGGTACGCCGGAAGAATTTTCACACAAGTAATGCGTAAGTTTTCTAACTCTTAAAATGCCCACAACGGTCGAGCGGTCAAGCCGCTAAACACCGAAAATTCAGTCCGAGGTTCGAATCCCACGTACGTTGCATGGCTGCATGGGCGCTTTCCCTACGTGTAACGTATATACGAACCAGTTTACTCTAGAAAGTCCACCACGAAGGCATTCCTTCCCTTAGGCAGATAACCTTAGAGGCTTTGCTGTAATTTAATAAACCAAAACAAACCTAAGTCTAAAAATGCGCTATTAATATTCTCTTGAAATTTTACTAGTTTTTAGAATCGTAATCTGGTAATCCTAAAAAATCATTATAGTACACATTTTTTTCATTTTTAATTAATGCAAGTAATATTAGCATTTGCCTGTGTGCCAGTATTGAAGTCCGCCAATGTATTCTAGAACATGTTTTCTATATTGCGAATAAAATGTCCTTTTTTCGGGAGGGACATTAAATTAGTAAATATTTTTCTCAATAATCTGCATAGAAATGATCAACACTTAATATCGTAACATCAGAAGCCCTTTTCTAAATGCTATTTTATTTTAAATTAAGTGCACCAATGCAAACATTCCACTCTTTAATTTGAATACGGGCCCTTAATATGATGCTCGATTTTCATTTAAAATGTCTTAGCAATTGTTTTTCGTACGGGTACCAAACCTTGTGTTGTAGAGACATTAGGTTAATTGGAAGCAGAAAAGATGAAATATATGCAACCGAATTCGCCGGGAATCGAACCGCGGACCTCTGGAATACCGGCCCAGCGTGCAGAACCACTACACCACGAAGGACGCTAGGAAAGTGGGAGAATATACCTTATAGTGTATTTTTTATAACTAGTAAAAAATTATCCGAAAGATAAGTGTAGGGACAGGTGTAATGTGTAAAATTTTAGAATACGTAATTTTTTATAAAATTGATTTCTTTAAATTTAAAAATTCCAAAGCGCGAATCTTTGCCTCATTTAAAACATTTTTGTAATTGAAAATATCTGTATACAAAAGGGAAAAAATGAAATATATGTCTACAAAGAAACAAAGAAAAGAAAAAAAAAAGAAGAAGAAGAATTAAGGTGTACACTATCCAACATTGAAAATGCGGCACCAAGAAGGAGTGGCCAATGATCTTTATTTTGAAATGATATGCATAATAAAGAGCGAGAACAGCGTCGGCTCATTAGGTTGTAGGTACGTTGGACGGCGATACACGAAGCAATACGTCTAGGTACAGATTCAGTGAGACTACAGATGAAGTCCTCAAGAATGCTTGTCCATTCCCTGTCAACCATTTGGCACCGTTTGTCTTCTAAACGCGGCAACAGCAGGATCTGCAAATTGCGTCCCATCACATCCCAAATGTGTTCGATTGATGAGAGATCAGGTGAGAACGGTGGCCAGGGAAGCATATGTACACCTTGAAAAGCACGTTGGCTGATGCGAGCAGTGTGTGATCGGGCGTTATCCTGCTGGTAGAGGACACTGGGTCGGTAGGGGAGTGTCACTATGTATCGTTGGGCCATCATAGTGCCCTGAATACGAATTAAGGTGACCTGGAATCTTACGCAATTGCGCCCCAAACCATGATGCCGTGTTATCGCGCGGTGTGACGTTCCTGAATTGCAGCCGGATTGGGCCTGTCTCCACATTGACGCCCCATTCGTACGCGGCGACTATCATTGGAGAAATAGAAGCGTGACTCATCTGAGAACATAAGTATAAATCTTATCCTTATCTATTAAAAGTGGTTGTCGTCGGCTGGTGAGATTCTTCGAACACCGAGACTCATAGCTACCAAATCTCTCGGTTTTATCTGGAGAATCCTGGTTTCGCGTCATCTGTATCAGTAGATAGCTGTAAAACTTAAAATTGGAAAACTCCGTACTCCTACCACTAGTGATTTTCAGCATAATTTCATAATTACATTTTATTTGATATAAATTATCTTAATTGGTATTTATTTTTTTCATCAAGATGTGATATATAGTTAGATTTATCGACATAATAGTACATAAATTAATTATTAACTTAATTTTTATCCTATTTAAAAGTACTTATTTAAAAGTTAAATCATCCTATTTAAATTTTAAGTCCTAAAGTTTCATCCTATTTAAAAGTTAATAAACGCTTTCCTACGTAGATCGGATGCGAAAGTAAAGGCCCAGTAACGACTTTTGTGGATACTGTGTATAAAAGACCTGCGTAGCAAGCTTGTCAGAATAACATATTGATACTTAATATTATGTAAAACGTTCTTGGTATATGTGCATGCTGTATCTCTTGATGAAAAAACTGCAGCGTTCTTGAGCAGTTTACAGAGCCACTGGTTAGGAATCTTCTAAATCGTATTGTTGTATAATTAAAGGCCCTCTTAGAATTGGTTCTGATCAAGATTTGGGTTTACAAACTCCAAAGTGTCAGGCAAAATAGTTCACCTCTGTACCAATGTTGTGAACCTTGAAATGCGTTTTTTACACTAGGATGACGCATAATCATTATCTGCCAAGATTCTGCCTTAAGCAGTAAAGGCTTCATCCTTGGAAATCTTTGCCGTTGTTGAATTATTCAATTTTTCTCTGGCTAGAAGTCATAAACTGTTAGTCCGCGTAGGATTGATTAGTCATGCTAGTGTAACCCTGCCACTTGCTATACTATTGTAAATTTCGTAATCAATAATACTGTAAACTAAAATATTATACAGATTTTGATATGTTATTGCTATTAAATTTTAAATAAAATGCGTAAAAGCTTTTTAAAGGAAATTAATCGATTTTTTAAATTTTATTATCAAAACTTATTAAATACCGAAAACACAAATTGTGGAGTTATTCATAATATATAACCTGCTTGGATGAACATTGTCAGCTAGCATTCACTCGTGCAAAGACAGATTGAAAAATTAAATATGAAAGAACTATTCCCGAACCTTGAATGAAAAATAATTTTTTCCAAAAAATAGGATGTAGTTTTTAATTAATTTTGAAAACTGAGGAAATAATTTTTTTTGAAAATTTAAAATTGTATTTTATTACGAAAATTCAAATTTGAAAGTTAAAATTTGAAATAATTAAAATATCAAACAAACCTTAGGATTCGTTTTATAGAATTTTAATTCGCTTTATAGACTATTTTAAGTAAAGTGATTTCTAAAAACGTATGGCGATACCTTTTTCATCCCTGTAAGGGTGCTGTTTATTAGATTTTAAAAAAATAATTTCG